ACACTTAGACTTTAATTTATAATTAAATAACCCTGTTAACTGTTAAGAAATTGAACATTTGAACTGTATAAGTTCCTTTTAGGATTCTAGTATATTAAACATAAAATGCGATGGATGAAAATGCTTGACTAAGAGTAAGCCTTAGAGTGATGTTGGGTCTGGCCCTGTGGGATACGAAAAGCCAACTAGTTAAGTATCCAGATTTGGGATAACGGATTATCGGGAGGGATACCAAATTTTAAAACTTTGGTATCCATGTGGATACTTAAAAAAAAATCAAATTTCAGACCCTGAATATTATGACGTCATGCTGTGGATGTTTACGAAATACAATATGAAATGTGGAAACACCACCAATATAATATGGCACTGCATGGCTAAAATCAGTCAAGTAATTTGTAGCTAGGTTTAAAGAAGCAACTTTTAAAATGTGACGATTAAAGAAATATTAATTAAAACCACCACAAATCAATACATTAGAAGACAGTGTATTTTGGTTCACAGAGTATGGGAGAGTGTTCAATACCATAGCGATCTAGAGCAGATATAAGTATATGTTGGCTTAAACTGTCAATTTCATCATGAGTGCATGGGACTGGAGTTTTTCGGTTAACCGAGTCGAATCCGAGTCTGAGTCAAATCCGAGCACGAGTCAAATGTCCGAGTCATTGTTTAATCAATGGTCTTTGTAGTTCAGTGACTTAGCACCCTAATCCTAGACCATAATCCCACTCCTAACTTACCCTAACCCTATTCAACTGTGAATTTTATTCAATTTCGGAGTTTGTCGGTTACTGACTGACTCAAATCCGAGTTCGAGTCAAATGTCCGTGTCACTGTTGAACTGTCTTTGTCAATAAAATGACTTGGTATCCTAACCCTAAACCTATACTCCTAACCCTATTTGACTGTGAATTTTCTTCACTTTCGTCCTTTTTTTATGCGACTCGGGCATTTGACTCGGGCTCGGGACTGACTCGGACTCGGATTTGACTCGGTAAATGGATTTACTCAGTGGGACTCAGTGATCATCAGACTTTGACCTTTGTACTTGACATCGATTTGTCTTGACATGACATCTGAGCAAGCTAGGAAATTTCCTAAAGCCTAATAAAATTCTCTATTCATTCACCAGCCAAGTGTTAACACTCAATAGTAAATAATTTAATCTGATCACTTCCTTTCAGCACTGCAATTTAAAGACTTTACTCTAGACTTCATTACTATATAAATGGCTAAAAACGCACAGGTTGTTGCAAGTTGATATCGACAGGCGTGAACGATGGTGTGCGACCAACTATGAACAAGTTGTCAACCATGTTGTTCCAAGTTGTTACAGTTGAAGAATGCTGTAACAACATGTTGACAGTACTCACAGTTCATAGTGGGCCGCACAACCTTGTTCACGCCTGTTGATATCAACTTGCAACAAGTTGTTGATTTTCTGAATTTTTACGTGTGTATACAGCACATGTCCAGCAGTAACACCCACCCCCCCAGTAACACCCACCCCAGTAACACCCCCCCCCCCCTAGTAACCTAATTCAGAAATGTTTGATTTTGTCTTCAGTTGGCATTAATGATAAGAAAAAAAATTCTGTGGAGCAAAAAAAAAATATTAATTTATGAATAATCACCTTTACGTAATTTAAAAAAATTGGGCTCCACAGAATTTTTTTAAATTGTCAAAATAATTGATTAAATTAACTAAGAGAAATCATTCTTTGAAATATAATTTGGGGGTCACCGATGTCGTTTACGAGTTAAATTACTTTAAAGCCAAAATATCCCCCATCTTGAAACGTCATTGTTGCCATAGCAACGGCAGTTTGCGTAACTTTTGTGCAAAAATTCAAACTCTTTAGATGTTGTTTTACATAGTAAGGTACTTTTGTTTATCAACAAGTAATAGTTGTCCAAAAATACGCACCTAAATCGTGAATTTTCCATTTGTTTAAAAACTGTATTGAGCCACCTTAACTAAGGCTGGTTTTCGTGAGCTACTGGATATAATCAGGCAAGACATTTGTGAACACAATGACCGAGGAAAGCCCAATCCTGCTTATATATTCAACTGTTGCTGACGCTTTTATGTCACGGGTACGTTGCAGTTAGCATGCGGAAACTTTCGAAAAAGATATTTTTCGCTGAACCTGCAAGCAGTTTGCGGATCAAATTTACAAATGCTAAACATTGAAGATTGTGGCACGTTGGCCAGGTAGCGTCCACGACGCCAGAATGTTTTACAACAGTTACATGTGTGCAAAGTTCGAACGTGGTGATATTTCTGGTATATCACCTGGTGATAGCGGTTGTGACATATATAAAGCTTCCCAAACTTGGCCTTTACTGATTTACTGTAATAATCGTTCTTTAATTTTATATTCAATCACATTTTTGTGCTTTCCAACTAGTAATGTTAAAAGCGACTTTTTCAATTGCGAGAAATATTGCCTATACTTTGAGACATCTTGTGCAGCTGATGATTGGACAACGGCTAGCTATGTTATTACATCAAACCCTCATTAAAATTCAACGTTTAAAAGCACTCCGGCTACTGTAGTAAGTCACAATCGAGTGAGCTCTTTGAATACAAATTCACCCGATTTTTTGACGAGTGAATGCTCCCTCACAGAGAGGACACTCAAAGTCGTACTCCTCTCATACTCACACTTCAATCATACTTGAGTGCATCTCATTCAGGCTTTCTTGCCATCCTACTTTTTTCTATTCTTCAGCTTTCCTACTTTTCCTATTTTTTATTAAAACTTGCTTGATTTTCCTACTTTTTCTCATGAAATCCTACTTTTTTAAGACAGCTTGGGGATTCAGTATGTTATAGTTCTCGTAATTAGATCTATAGGACTCCTAATTTTTATTCCCTGTTTGTGTCCTAGATGATAAGATCACGAGAAGAGAAGAAGTACATTTTCCTAGTATAAAATTCCATAGCCTCTCTAGAATCATAATCAATAAATTAATGATGACTCTGAAAGTGCCATTTCGGACGATCTAGAGATTCCAAATATTCAACAGCCCCTCCCAGTTAATCAAGCATCATATGCTCCTACCGCACAGTGTGGATTGGTGTATGGTGCAACCAAATACATGCACTCACACGCATAATGCATTTGAATTGTGTTGCTGCAGAGCAGATGCCTTAACTTTTATACTGATGCAATTTAAAAGTTTGAGAAAAAATCATGCATAGATGAATGAGTACAACAATATATTGAGCACCAAAAATTCACACAACTTCCCCATCAGATATCTAATTGTCCACCCTTACCACATATATCTAAGGTATACGTGCCAATGTTGTCCATTTTTTTGTTATTTGCATCTCAAAAAACTCCTACTTTTGCCCTACTTTTCTACACATTTTTCTACTTTATTCCTACTTTTCCTAAAATTGTAGTCCTACTTTTATCCTACTTCTACACAAGGATGCCAGAAAGCCTGATCTCATTTGAAATAAGGTACTGGATAATTTTTGGAAATTTTTTTGCATCACGTTGAGTTGGTAATGCCACAGCACATGCATAAACATTTCATATTGTATCATAAGCGAGCGACGCGGAAAAAACATAATATTATATTAGGATATTATTAGGTTCTTTATATATTTACCAATATAATATCATTATATTGGTGAATATATAAACAAGTAAACAACCCAACATTATCCTGAAAAATTTTAGGGTCTGTAGAAAAAAAGAGGATCTGTCTAGAAACCGGAACCACAGGTTATTTTTTGTTAGGTCTAACCATCATACCACCCTGAAAATACAGGTTCAACTGACGTTACATGTACTGAATTTTTTTGCTTTTTCTTTGACAGCATATACAGAACGATGGTGTCGATTAAAAGGAAATCTTCTATTTTATTGTAAAGGAAATGAAAAGGTATAGAAATTACTTTGTTTCGTGCCTTTTTTATATAATTGGATTATTTTTATATAAGTATATATGAATTGAAATTAACAACGAAAACAAACAAGAGAGCGTGAAACAGTTTCATATATAAAGCTCTTGATTTAAATTATTTCTTCAAGTCATCATCAGAATTATTTTACAATAGACCTTACCGATTATTCTCCTTTACCCAATGGCCTGGTTTCCATGTTAACTTATTTTAGCATGTCAGGGGCAGATAAAGATTATATTCCCATGCTTTCCTGGACGAATTTGTTTCTTGGTGTTCTTAGGCTCAATAACAAAGTAATTTTCAACCTACTAAGCACAAAACATGATTAAGTATTTGACACGAAAACGAGGCCATTGGATGAAAAGTGAATAAACGGTAAGGTCTATTAATGAGTATCAAATTCCGTGCTGTTTGCATGTTTGCGTTCTTGCATTCGTCGGGAGTATCTGATAGGTTGCTTAGGTGATGATGATCCAATTTCATTGGTAGTTGAAGGATGGATTAGGATTGGATAGCTGGATTAATTTTCTTGCTGATGGTATCATTGAAATGATGGGAATGTGCGTTTCTGGATGTGACAGGAAGTGTTGTTGGAAAATTAGTATAAATATTAGTGTTATTGTTATTGCTAGTAGTGGCATTAGGTAGCTTTCTTAGTCGTAGTTAGATCGTCAGGATTTCAATGTGTCGGTGGATTGTGTTATTGTCCATGCTGTGCCATGCTTCTTTGAATTCCCATAGATGTTTCGTTTTGTGGGTATCCGGTAGTTCAGCGTGTGTCCGATTGAATGCAAACTAAAATTTTTCTATATATAGTTTCAAATGTTATTTATTATAATCTTATCTTGTTTTCCTTGTCAGACATCGGAACTTGCTGGCTTGTTAGTTTTGGAACGATGCAGTATCAATAAAGATCTAAATTCTAGCAGGAAATATGCATTTTCTCTAGGTATGTCCGACTTTACTATACTTTATAGTGTAAAGAAAAAGTTTCACCAATACTCGACTAACTACGAATGCGTATCTAGTAAACTAACTATAACATTACCCTGTGAAAAAAGCGCGTGCGAGCCTGTAACGTATCGATTGCGGACGTGCGGAGACGTCCCACGACCAGTAAGTAAGCATAACCCGTTGCTGAAAAGTCGATAGACCAGTGACGTTACCCATTGTATAAAGGTGCGTTTACACGTATGTGTAACCCAATAAGCACACGTAAAATGGCCGCATTTCAAATTTTGCCATAGACTGAATTGCAGCTCAATTCTGGCGTCAGAAGTAATTTTCATACGCCAGAATACGAATCGTATATGAGAAATTACAGCGTGTAATTTAACGTATACATCAACGTCGTACGACCAGTAACGTTATCCATTGAGGGGACGTCGCACGACCAGTAACCTTATCCATTGTAGAGACGTCGCACGACCAGTAACGTTAGAGACCTTACGATTTTAGGACGGCAACGCGACCACAACGGCTACCAATACAATAGATCATTGAAAAGAATTGAGTAATTACAATATATGAATAATTTAGACATTGTCCTCGCTCTGTTTACAACGCTAAATCACAAATTTTTATGTCTTGATACAACGGCTGCATTCCAAACCACAAGTGCAACTTCAAACTGGGTTTAGCAGAACTCTTCCCAACCATAAAACCCATGTTCATACGATTGATAATATACCACGAACTATCTTTACTACCATTTATTTGAAGGAGTTTGTTTTGGCCGTCGCGTTGCCGTCCTAAAATCGTAAGGTCTCTGTTATCCATTTTGGAGACGTTGCACGACCAGTAACGTTAACCATTCTGGAGACGTCGCACGACCTGTAACGTTACCCATTGTGGAGACGTCGCACGACCTGTATCGTCACCCATTGTGGAGACGTTGCACGACCAGTAACGTTAACCATTCTGGAGACGTCGCACGACCTGTAACGTTACCCATTGTGGAGACGTCGCACGACCTGTAACGTTACCCATTGTGGAGACGTCGCACGACCTGTAACGTTACCATTGTGGAGACGTCGCACGACCAGTAACGTTACCCATATGGAGACGTCGCACGACCAGTAACGTTGCCCATTTTTGAGACGTCGCACGACCTGTAACGTTAACCACTGTGGAGACGTCGCACGACCTGTAAAGTTACCATTGTGGAGACGTCGCACGACCAGTAACGTTACCTATATGGAGACGTCGCACGACCAGTAACGTTGCCCATTTTGGAGACGACGCACGACCTGTAACGTTGCCCATTTTGGAGACGTCGCACGACCTGTAACGTCACCCATTTTGGAGACGTCGCACGACCTGTAACATCACCCATTTTGAAGACGTCGCAAGACCAGTAATGTTGCCAATTGTGAAGACGTCGCACGACTTGTAACGTTACTCATTGTGGAGACGTTACACGACCTTACATAATGTAAGTGTTTTTAAATCTATTTGTATTACACCTTGGAATATTAAAAAAAGTTTGGATTTCTTAAGTTGTAAGTATTTGAATGCTTTGTAGGTAAGAGATGGTGAATTTTATGATGTTTGTCATTCACTATTGATTCGTCACACGAGCAATAACGTTAACCATTGTGGAGACGTCGCACGACCTGTAACGTTACGCATTGTGGAGACGTTGCACGACCAGTAACGTCGCCCATTTTGGAGACGCACGACCTGTAACAGAGAGTTTGAGCAAGACAACGAAGTACGAAGACGAAGGCATACTTGACAATTTTTGCCATCTGTACATTATCTTGCGCATACTGAGTTGGATGTCACTGGTGGTTGTACAACGTGTCTTCCCATGTGTCGCTGTTTATGAATACTGACCATAATTCTTGCCCTGATCCAGAAAAAAACTATATCCCGTCTTTGTCCTTCTGCCTTCGTGCAGAACGAAGTTCACAACGAATTTTGCCAAAATATTCGTTGTGAACGAAGGCAGAAGACGAAGACGGGATATGGATTCATGTCTCGCTGTTTTATCTTGATCAGGGTAAGGATTTGGGTCAGCATTCACAAACAGCTAGACATGAATCTCTAATCTGTCATCACTCCTGACCCTAAACTCAGTATGCGCAAAGTAATGTGCAAGACAACCACGTCGTCGTCTCCGACTTCGTTGTCTCGCTCAAACTCTCTAACATCACCCATTTTGGAGACGTCGCACGACCTGTAACGTTACCCATTGTGAAGACGTCGCACGACCTGTAACGTCACCCATTGTGGAGACGTCGCACGACCAGTAACGTTAACCATTGTGGAGACTTCGTACGACCAGTAACGTTACCTATTGTGGAGACGTCGTACGACCAGTAACGTTACCTATTGTGGAGACGTCGTACGACCAGTAACGTTACCTATTGTGGAGACGTCACACGACCAGTAGCATTATCCATTGTGGAACGTATGATGATGATACAGGTAGAAAATAAGAATGAAACTATGATCAGATAAAACAGAAAGGCGTTGAATATGGACAAAATATATGAAATTATTTTTCGTGGGAAAACCTCGATGCATCCACGTACTTTTCCTTCCATATGGAACGAAAAACATGGCTCAAGAGACTTGAAGTTACCACAGATTGGACAGACATTTTGAAGACATGCTGATAAAAGCAGGTGGAAAAATCTACATGGATTCCCAGCTTAGCAGTTAAAACTTTCTTTCAGAACTTAATAATGTTACTATTTACCTTTGGAATTGAACTGTGGGGAGGAGTATAGCCAGATCGACAAATTTATCAACCGTGCATACCGTATTGGGGTACAGGGTATATAACAGAAAAGTCAAATTTTAGTAATATCTGAGAGACACAAGAAGTTGTGGACGAAAATATTGAATACTAGAAACAATGCGTTAAGAGAACTTCTACCGAACAAGTTAGATCGAACTTTAAGACAAAGGGCACGACTTTGAGCTGCCTCGAGTACGAAATACAAGATTTATAAATGCCTTTTCAATTTTATTTATAATATATAGTTATATGTTACCACTTCTTAATAATATCATATAGAATTTTATTAGTCTTATAAAATTAGATGAATAAATATGTAAATAACTATTCAAAAACTCATTAATAATGCATGAACCAATTATCCAATCTTATTATTATTATTATTGAATTGAAACCACATTGCAGCCAGAAGCTGAATTGCGTGGATTACATATTATCACATGCACTACATATAAATATATTATTAATACAATATTATAAAAACCCACCCACGATCAAAATTCGATTAAAATAAGCATAAAATCTATCCTACAAACTTCCTACACATAGCAGGGATAAAAGAGTTATAAAGGCGGTTCGTGCGTGTAACGTACATATTAAAATACCGATTCGTCCTGAAAGAATAATCAGTCTCGTTCTTCGGGGGCAGCAGATGATGAAGTTTATGCATTGGATCCTTGATGATACCCGTAAAGAGTTTGTCACACATGTCCTCTCTTCTTTGAAATAGAGTAGGCAGTCTAAAATACTCAAGGGCCTCACAATATGTCATTTCAGGAGATAAAATTTTTAGCACACGTTTCTGGACAGTCTCAAGTTCGTCTGCCAAATACTTTGGGATGGAATGATGGAAGGCTTGCGCACAATACTCGAGCACAGGCCTGATCACTGTACAATAAAAGTTCAAGACATCATTGACATTTACGCTTGCCCGTTTCAATAATACTATAAAATAGAGGCGTTTATTAGCTTTCTTTATACTCTCTCTGATGTTATCTTTCCACTGAAGTGTGCCTGTCATAACAACACCCAATATTTTTGCACTCTCAACTATAGGCAATGCTTCTCCACCCACCAGTACAGGATCAAAAGGTTGTTTAATTTTTTTTAAATCTTTTCTCAGTTCTTTACATTTCTCAGTGTTAAGAGATAGCCCATTTGCCTTCGACCAATCTTCCACAACATCAACTGCGACTTGAACACGGCTTTCTGTGTCCTTACTAACTACTTCAGCAACAGTTGTGTCATCAACAAACTTCCACCTCGATATATCACAAATATCAAGATCGTTTATCATTAAACAAAATAGCCAGGGCCCTAATTTTGTACCTTGAGGGATACCGGAAAGTACATCTCCCCACTCCGAATAACAGTCATTGGATAATTTCACTCTCTGCTTTCGATTCATCAAAAAATCGATTGTCCAGCGAGCAACCGCACGTGGAATAGCTAAACTGGAAATTTTATCAGCCAGTAAAGCATGATCGATAAGGTCGAATGCTTTTCTATAATCGAACAGGATGACTCTGACAGCAGAGCCAGTGCCATCAGTAGCTTGCGACCATTCATGGATCATAGATATAACAGCAAGAGTAGTTGAACTTCTTGGTATTACTCCATATTGACTTGGATATTACTTAGATACTTATATTCATGATAGCTGGAGCAATGTATTTTTTAACAACACAGTCCTCGGCGATTTTCGAAATAGCGGCAGTAAGTGAAATTGGTCGTAACTGCTTACAAATGTCGCTAACGGGCTTAGTTTTTATGAGGGGCACAATGTTGGCAAGCTTCCAAGATTTAGGTAGTTGTTGTTCGGCATAGCTGCTGTTTAGCACAGCGCATACTGGCTGTGCAAGGATTTCAGCATATTCCTTAAGAGCCCAATTGGGAATTTCGTCAGGGCCTGACGCCTTTCCACGATTAATTGCTTTCAGTAAATGAAAGACTTCCAATTCGTTCACTTGAAAAGAGGAATAATTATCAAAGGGGGGAAGGGTTGACAGTGGATTGAAGGAGTTCATGGGCTCCAAAAAGGCGTTATTAATTAAATTCGCAATGTCAGGACGTTGCATATTCTCGATATCGTCTAAATGAAGTTGACTATCGGAGCCGGTTGTAGGTACCATACCAGCAATCTGCTTCACCTCCTTCCACCATCTCTTCGGTTTGGTCGATTTAAGATTCTTTACTTTTGAAGAGTAGAATTTCGCCCGGCATGTCTTTCGCTCGCGGTTAACCCGATTCCGGTAATACTTGAACTGAAAGGTATTTCCACTGCAGGAGGCAGCTTGACGCTTCCTTATAAGCTCTTTAAATTCTGCAGTAATCCATGGAGGATCGTGTACATGCAAAGCCGTTTTCTTTATGCCAATAATGGTGCTAATACCGAGACGTACTAACTCTTCGAAATACTGGAGTTTCATTTCGCATGTGTCAAAATGATTCAGAGAGGACCAATCGATAGATGTAAGGTATCTTCCAAGCTCATGCCTTTTACTAGATCGTAAATCTCTACTAGAGATAATTCTTCTACTGCATGACTTGGGTTCTCTTTTGCAAGGATTGACAATCACAACATTATGATCTGAAAGACCAAATGGCGGAAATTTTTGGACAGAGTTCTTATCATAAAACGAATGTAAGTTGGTTATTATTAGATCCAAAGTCTGGTTGGCCCTTGTGGAAACGTTAACAATCTGTTTGCAACTGAACTGTGTTAATATCCGATTGCATTTTAACCGATTAAAGTCGCCTGCAAGAATAAACCCACAGCCAGGATAGGTGCTTTCAATAGTAATCAGTGATGTGGAGAGAAATTGGAGCATTTCATCATCATTAGCATTAGGTGGATGGTAAACGACACCAAGTATCAAGCAGGAAAACCCGCGGGGAAGTCTACTTGGACGAACATAGACCCACAGAACTTCGTAATCTATATGGTGGAGATGATTCAGAGGCTTATAAAATATCGTGTTCCTGATGTACACCCCAACTCCTCCGTGGGAGCCCACACTGCGGTTTTTATGAACAAAATTGTAACCTGGAATATCGAGGCAGGAATCTGAGATACGGTCATTTAGCCATGTTTCCGTTATACAGGCAAGGTCAGGACTCTTTTCTGTGACAAAACAACTCACTTCATCAATTTTGGGAGCTAATGACATCGTATTTGTCAATAGTAGTTTCGGAACGTAGAAATAGTCATTAGCATTGGAAATAACAGTTTTATTAATGTTAATTTGAATAATATTATTTAAATTACGTTGTCCGCGATGAATTGAAGTAGGGCGACCTGATAGGGAAAAATCATGTTCTAGTAATATTACTGGAAAAACCTCATATTGGCTTTCCATTTGTCCTTGCGAAAACCCTCCCCAGTCTGGTAGATTCTAGCGCCATGTTTATTTCGTCGCCACGTCGATTTCTTTGATGGTGTTCTATGGGTAACGCGAGTCGGGATGGCATAACAGTTAGTTATGTCCGAAATTTCCGTATGTTTTGGGAATTGACTTACTTGACCAGCATGTTTTTGAGGCTCCTGCTTATCAACTTGTTTTGGTGGTATTCGAGGGTTAGGTGGTAATTCTTGAGATGTGATATATTTATTAGTACAGGTATTCTCTTGAGTCGGAGGCGCGTGTTGATTTCTAATGCAATTAGTGCTTGAGTAAGAAATTAGTCACGTGCATACGTCTTTATAACAGCTAAAGAGCACTTTAACAAAAGACCATTGTTATGCAAACTATATAAAGATTTTTATATAAAGATTTTTATATAAAAATTTTTATATAAAGATTTTTATATAAAGATTTTTATATAAAGATTTGACTTATTATGCATACGTTTTTGAAGCCATTTAAAAAACTCGCAGGTCGTGTTTTATTAGGTCTAAAGCCACTCGCGCTGCGCGCTTGTGGCTTTAAACCTAATAAAACACTCCTGCTCGTTTTTAAATAGTACATAAAATAGAGTATATGATTGTATAATAGTTTTTCTGAAAATTCCATGTTAACTCAGACGTGTGTTTTGAATTGTCAATAAAGACTATTATTATCATCATCATCATTGTCTGAGCCAGTTCGATATCTGTCCTTATAATATACGTACATGAAAAAATTCTCAATTCTGATTGGCTAAGAGCAGTGCATTTTTTTCGAAAACAGTTCCAAAAAATGAAACACAGTGCAAAAAAAGAAATACAGAACCAAAGTTCATTGACTATTTAGGCTTTCTGATTGACTTAAAATATGAAACAACAACAAAGATAGCCTGCATGCAATAAGATACAGCAACTTCCAGCAGAAATAATAATAATAATAAATTATTTCCATGTGACTTAACGCACGTGGTTGCATAATTTTTCATGTATATTATTTAATAAGTAATACAATTGTGAGTTTTTCAAAGACTTCAAATTGACCATTTGCGTAATAGACTAAATTTTGATCTCAACAAAAATTTCATCACAGCTTGAAAGAGCATCACAAAATTAGTACTATTCCAAAGTTTCGTTGCAAAATGTTGTAAAATGCGGAAAATATAGCCTTGCGAAATTTGCAATTTTCAGTCATTTTAGATTACAAACCGGAAATTGACAGCCCCAAACCCTTCGAGGCTGTCAATTTCCGGTTTGTAATCTAAAATGACTGAAAATTGCAAATTTCGCAAGGCTATATTTTCCGCATTTTACAACATTTTGCAACGAAACTTTGGAATAGTACTAATTTTGTGATGCTCTTTCAAGCTGTGATGAAATTTTTGTCTAGACTTGTCTAGTTCAAAATTTAGTCTATTACGCAAATGGTCAATTGCACTCGTCCTTCGGACTCGTGCAATTTTGATAGTCTTTGAAAATTCTCACTCCAAATTGTACTCGAAACCATACTATTACCTATCAGGAATATCAAATATTATTCTCATTTTTGGAAATTACGTTCTAGTATTTGACAGACAAGATGAAGGCCAACACTACCATTTTGCAGCGAATTCTGAAGCTGAGTATAACGACTGGATTAAACGCATAAAAAATGCAAGGTAATATAATGCAGTACATAAATAAAGACGTGTTACACATTATTACATAATTTTTGTATGTATATACATACACTGTAAACCTGCATATAGCATGCAAACATGTCACTTCATGCAATATGATAAAGTATATATACTAGTTAATTTCGTGTGCTTTCAAAGATATACAGTATTTTTGTGGCTCCTCAGTTTCTAAGTGCAAGTCTGTTGCAGGTTTGTTGAGGGCCACTTTTTGCCGGGGTTAATTATACCCAAGATGTTGTTAGCATCTCACTCGATTGAATATTAATTGAAGGGTATTGTACATGGAAATTATTGAGTGGAAATTTATATATACATTTATTACACCTAACCAGGAACAGCTGCGAAAAATGAAACTTTAAATCCCTGGCATTATTTAATCTTTATTATTATATTTACAGCTACGAAAAGCTTAAGGAAAAATTGCAGAAGCTTTGTGAACAGATAACTGAGATGACTGGCGAGGTAAACCTTATCGTTGTTAATTTTCTGTTATTAATATTTTTCTTTTAGTGATATGATTCGTTACTGTATATTTAGGTCTTTTTGTAGGTTATTTGCCTTAGGGTTGCAAGGAATCAGTGTCAGCTCAGAAATTCGTGTATTGTAGTCTTTACATACATGCATGTTAAATTGCTTTCATCCCTGATCGTGCATTAGGCCAAATAAAAAAAAATACTTGGTTAGCGTCACACTCTCACAATTTTCAGAGGCGGGAGTGCGGGTTTTTTTTTAAATTTTACTCGTTTTTTAAATTTTTTAATAGTATTTTTTTGGGGAGATGGGGGCGGTTTTTCCACCATATCGGTGATATTTTTTGTACTGATGTTTCGAAGGCCGCCATTTTGCTATAAGAACCTTGACGTATACCCAAGCCCACGCGCTCCTATCGATCAGTGTATAGCGCGCGAAGGTCTGAGCATGAGAATAATTGCAAATATTAAACTGTTTTAAGCTGTAAAACGAAGATATTTACATTAAAAAAAAAATTCAGAGGCGGCAGAAATCGAGAGGCGGGCGGTGACGCTAACCAAGTTTTTTTTTTATTTGGCCTTGTTAATAGTTATATGAAACGCTATTATGTACGCTATTATGTGACGTCCGGCATGGTGTTGTGAAAAACGTCGCTTGCTTAAGCTCTCTAATGACGGCAGTAATGTGTTACTACCACACCAGATGACTATAAAGAAATGAAGAATTTAAAAAGAGTTTTTCACCACAATGACTTCAGGTGATAATATAGTACAGAACTACACATTACTTGAAATGAACTCAAAGAGTATTACAATTTATAAACATGCACTCATTGATGACGTAGTAGTGGGAAGAAAACCTCGGTATCAATTTGTTGCTTTAAGCCCATTTTCCACTAGACGAATTTGTTTGCGCGAAGCGAAGAAAAAAAATGTTGGCAATGTGATTGTTCAGCGAAAAAAATTCCCGCTAAAAAGTTGGATCATTAATTCCTACTTTTTTACTGTTCGCGCGAACAAATTCGCCTAGTGGAAAATGGGCTTAAACGTCGAACTAGAGTACGACTGGCTGCAATATGATGTTTGTGATGTTGCTCTGAGTGATATACATATCACAAACATTATATTCACCTGAGTACAACACCAGTACTCAGTGCTCCATTTGTTTTTAGCATCCACTGCCGTCAAACCATCCATTCCGTGATGACAGCGGGGTAAGCATGTCCATGAACTAACTCCTACTGTATTTACGTCTACGTACTGTACACGTGATCGTACGTTTATGCGGTAACGTACTGTAGAAGTCAAAATGTCGGGTATTAGGCCTACTGTATGTTTGCTGTCGAACGAATTAATCTATTTAGTATTTATTTTATTCTTGGGATTTTTAGCCACCAGAAAAACCTGAAAACAAGCCAATTCCAGTAGTACCAGAAGAACCTCCTTTGTTGGAAATAAGCTTGGGTAATGTTTGTGTTATCTGACTGTGCATGTATACTCTACAATATAGCACTTTAGTCCCACGGACCTGAATATGATCATTACACTTACTGGAAATGAATTGGGATTTATAGTTTCTGTTATAGACTAATTGGTTTGCGAAATATAAACCATCCCATTCGATTTAAACGAAATACATTTAACTCAAAATAATGCGAGTCTGCATGCATGTTGCTTTAATTTTTGCGTTGCTTTTTAAACTTACTAACAGCTATGTTTAATTTATTCCTTAGCTTGCAATGATCTAATAAAGTCAACTGTAGAAAACAGATTTCCAAATGCAGTTGTGATTGTGAGTACTATGACACCGCCTGGAGCAACCTGGACCAGACTGGCGCAAACTGAAATCATAGAGGTATGATGTAGGTAGAATGTCATTTCTCGTACACTGTGCTTCGAGGATTTTTCTTTGGGAATTCCGGTTTTTTTCCCTCACCATTATGTAACTATATAAAGGCCGTTTTCCACTTCAACCGTATCGAAGCGCAGTGTATTTCTTTATTCTCTGCATGAGCACTACAGTGGAACTATATGACTTCAACAGAAAAGAAAATGGTACGCTACGACAAAATTGAAGTGAAAAATAGCCTTAACGTGCACATACCAGGATTTTGCGAACTTTTTTTCAGCAAAAAAGTGATCCATATTTCTTGACAACTGTGAGCATACCATCTGGAGGAAATTTCAGTGAAGTAACAAGACTAAAACTTGCTGTCTTTGATGTTCGTGATCGAGATAAAGAAGAGGTACTAAAATTGCGTTCTGATTGCCACTTATGGCAGTGTGATTTAGTCACCAATTGTAAACTTGAATCGCATTCATTTGAGTCAAATTGATGTGCGCATTTGTGCGCATATCTTCCGTTCGCATTACCATGTGCGCAATTTTCACAGAATTGAATTTGCCGACAAAATGTACTTTCAACACCAGTCAAAAGTTTGATATTTTTTACATTTAGTGATGTGCGAATTTCCTCACTTATCACTTATGTAATATTTCTAGCTGTCTGAAGGAGCTTCGCTGCTCCGGAGCTGGAGCCTGAACGCGATTTAGGCATTTAGGAGGGTGTTCTGTAACTGTGGTCTGAATACGCATTCTGTCCCTCCCGTGAAACCTGTGTCCGCATTTTGTGGCAACAAAATCAAATTCGGTGCGCAACCTTTCAACAAATCATATCATTGAGTACCGACTAAAACCAAGTGTGTACGGTTTTGTTGTATTGATCATTATATAAAAGATACAGTATGGTAATGGATATTTTAGATGACACATCTTGGTCAAGCTGTTTGTACAATCAAGGATGTTAAGAATTCAACGAATCAGAAAATTCAACTTTCTCTTACGTAAGTTTGCCTTTATATAATTAGATTTCCTGAATATTTACATACCCGTAACACGTATAGCATGCACCATGCATCACAAGCATCTTTTATACCAATGACAATTATCGGCAAACGTGTACTTCAAATTTGTTTTACTTTACCATTTCATTTCAGTGGTTTAGATTCTCCTACGCCTTCAGGGACGATAACATTATTAGGCTGGAAGGTACGAATATTGGACAATTATTTTTTGGGGCATCTGCAGACCGCGATTCTATTCCAGCAATATGCAGTTTTGTGATAGAGTTTTACCTCGGTCGCATGACACTCTCTCCGCAACGGCGATATATAGTTAATAATATATATAACTATATATAGTTAACCCATTTAGCGTCAGCGCTCTCCCCTTGACGAGTAAAATCGTCTGGCGTTAGACAGAGTAAAATAATTTGGCGTTAGACAGAGTAAAATAATAACGTAGGGCGCATCAAGGCGCAATGCGACTCAATGGGTTAAATTAACCAGACACATGCAGATATATAGGCCAGTTAACACATTAAGCGTCAGCGCTCTCCCCTTGAGGAGTAAAATCGTCGATCCTGGCGTTAGACCGAGTAAAATAGTAAAGTAGGGCGCATCAGGGCGCAATGCGACTCAATGGGGGTATAAACACGCGAGCTATATAACGCAAGTTAACGGTCAATTGCCTAAATGCCCTATATTTTCCTGGTATAAAAGACAGTGGTCGCATGCGAAGAGTGAGATTCTTACTCTTCCAAATACTTCCTGTACATTAAAGTGACAATGAAACAATAAGAGCAAGCCTGCACTGGACCTCTGCGTGTGGAGAAAGGTTTAGAACTGATAGAGCCATCCTAGTATATATTTGGCATACGACTATACAACTTATTATATCTAAATTTTGTCAGGCGACCGTGGGATTCCTCAGATAATATAATAATGTACATAATGTTACTCAACTGTTACTGGACTGTCATTGGTTGACTTCAGTGCAGTTAATCTCAAACGACAGTGCAAAAGTCTATAACAAACTGGTCTGATTGGTAGAAAAACAATGGGATCTAAAAACAACCAATCAGTTTAAAGCAGTCCTCAAGTAACGGCCATTTTTATGTATATTAATACGTAATAGGATGGTTTCTCGTGAAATTTGGATAAAACAAGTACTCGTGAGTTTTTCAAAGACTTCAAATAGCACTCGTGCTATTTTGATGCTCTTTGAAAAACTCATCGTGCATGTTTTATCCGGATTGTACTCGAAACCATCCTATATTGCATATATATACACATAATATATTTCAGGTTGAAAGTCCTCCTGAAAAGCCTTTGGTAAGTATACGTTTAAATAGTAATAAGTTTGCTGATGGAACTCGCACGAGTTTAACAAATTCACTCAAATTTTATAACCAATCTTCCAATCCTACCTTAAATTATGTATATGCATGCATGCATGTCATATAATTTATGTGTTGGTATTTCACTTTGTAAATATGGTATATATTTAGCAACTAGTCGCCGAAGGCGAGGTGATTACAAGCCTATATTCACTGAGCCGAAGGCGAAGTGAATGTAGGCTTGTAATCACCGAGCCTGAGGCGACTAACTGTTTTAGTATAATTTCAGTATTGAAAAAGTCTTAAGTACTAGTTAAAACATGAGCAGTCAATCTTTATCTACGACCCATCTTATCAGTTCATTGGCGAAGTAATTTTAAAAATAAACATTGTCTAAGCCGAGAAAATGAAAGTTTATGTAAATCTTTAAGTTTATGTAAATCAGGACAAATCTTTATCCGATTTACAAACATTGATTAAACATTCATTTCTTTTGTATTTTCCTCATGAATTATTAATACATTTTTAAATTATAAATACAACTAATACACGTGTTTATTGCTGCCTAAGGCAGCGTACTATTCTTGACATGAAGTATTGCGTTTACTTGTGTCCAGTCTCTTCGGCCGAGTCATGTATAGTCGAGATTTCGATTTGTGTGTGTGTGTGTGTGTGTGCCTGCCTGCCTGCCTGCCTGCCTGCCTGCCTGTCTGTCTGTCTGTCTGTCTGTCTGTCTGTCTGTCTGTCTGTCTGTCTGTCTGTCTGTCTGTCTGTCTGTCTGTCTGTCTGTCTGTCTGTCTGTCTGTCTGTCTGTCTGTCTGTCTGTCTGTCTGTCTGTCTGCCTGTCTGTCTGTCTGTCTGTCTGTCTGTCTGTCTGTCTGTCTGTCTGTCTGTCTGTCTGTCTGTCTGTCTGTCTGTCTGTCTGTCTGTCTGTCTGTCTGTCTGTCTGTCAAGCTGTCTGTCAAGATGTTTTTCTGGGGAAATAATTAAGTTTCAGGAAGTTTTTTTAAACGAGGGGGCGGTCAAACTTTATTTTGTATTGCACTCGCATGATTCTTCTCCGGATTTCAGTGCATGTTGGATTTTCACGATGCAAACGATCGAGAATATTTTGAATAATTCAGGTAAGGATAGCTTTTATATTTCTTTCTGGCGATATACATGAAGGCATTTATATTTAAATCTGCTGTTTGGTGTTCGATATAGAAGTATTGAAACAATATGATTTCACGAATTTATCGGCAGTTTTAATAGCCCATCGTCTCTATATTTATACAAGAAGTCAAAATGTACTTTTAGTTTATTTGTTTGTGTGACGATGTGCCAAGGCGATGAGTTTATAATATTCATTCTATAGATGTCAACACGTTTTAAAATAAACGCGGAATGTTGTGTATACACGTCTTAATAATTAGGCTTAATGTAAAGATATTCCAAAAGCAATCCAGTGTGGATTGTTGTCTGCACGTATTAACTTACCAGCAGTGACATGCAATAACATGTCAACCGACTTTTGTACAAGACATAACGGTCTGTAAAAATATATTTCTGAGACATGTCCATTGTTAGCATATATGTGCAAGGTGTTTGATATTCAAAGTGCACTTTTCCTAACTCCTGAACAGGCATCCTATAGGGGCTGTTTACATGATGGAAGGTGGGATGATTTTGATGTATTGAAATAAGTCACCAGCTAAACGAAAGTTCAAACGCTGGTTAATTTAACAGAACTCAAATGTCGTAGAGAAGATCTTGTAGTTCAAGAAGATTATTATTGCTGCTTGAACAAGCTTTCGTTTACAGTTAACTATAATCTATCTCTAGAAAGTGATAAAGATTTTTGCTGAATTGTGCACCAATATACTGTATGAGCATGACTGACTTACTTCAAGACATCGAAATCATCCCGCCTCATATCTCGTCCTGGCAAAGCGGGATCATATATACAGCCCCTTATTCAGCAATTTGAGCATGCTGCCTCTTATCCATTTTTGGGGAGGCAGCACTTTCCTTGCGATAGTAACTTCTAGTTTACTGAAATCATTTGCATAAATAATTTACTTCCGCCTGATTTTTTAGAGCAATAGTTACTGCTCAGAGCAGTCTGAGTAGTAGCCTGCGTGCAGGCCCAAGGGAACTTGATAGTGGGCCTGCAACCATCGCCCGGTATTTTGAAATACGCCCCTTTTCATAACACGCCCCATTCGCGCGTCAATTGTCAAAAAAGAACCAATGACAGCACCCAAATATTAACAAACAAACTCGCATTTAATAAAATGTTGCGGGGTTTTCTCTGCTTATTCAGAACACCAATAAACAATGTGTAAATGGCTGCGTTTTAACTCCAAAAAAGCAAGCAACGCAGTCAGTAATTGCCAAATTTGCAAGTGCTCATTTTCAACTAAAATCGGAACAGGCAAATTAGGACGAATTTCAACAGAAAACCAGTCTCAAACTTCAAATCATGAGGGAAGTCGGGCGACCACATTAGGATTTATATTATATGTGCTTCGCTGTCGCCATTGGCATTGTTATAAATAAATTGTCTCACTTATCAAATCGTGTGTGCAATTCTTGTTGGCGGCGGAAAGTACGAAATTTATTTCATTTTGTAAAGAACTCTACAAAAGAAGAGAGCGTTCCGAGTCCAGATCGTTTCGTTTTAAACGGCAATTTAATACCGCCTTCTGTTTCGCTCTCTCTGCGAAGCCTTGTAAATCGCAAAGTGTTTCGAATAGGCTTACAGTTCTTACATGCAACTGCATCTCAACATCAACCAAAAGATAATTTTCTTGAGGAAGTGAGAACACATAACGTATCAACTGAAGTCTGTTTGAAATTAATGAAATTCAAGTAAAGGTTACTATAGTTTACCCCAGTCGTAATTTGCTATTCCAACACCTCACGACAAGCAATCCCCATTGGTATAACGGCAAAAACATGTCTTCCTTCAAATAAACAATAAACAGTCTGTTCTTGTTCCATTTGTAATCGAAAAAAGTGATCAATTTTCAAATTTTAAGCTTATCGAGAGCCTTTGTCTATGCCTTTGTGATGAATCACTGTTCCCTTGTGCCTGCACAATGGGCTAGGTTAATTAATTACCGATCGCCTCAGCTAGCCAATGGGAATTTAGCCGGCGGTTCGGCCGGCGAAAATCGAAAACATGGGGTGATGGTTGCAGGCCCACTATCAAGTTCCCTTGGGCCTGCACGCAGGCTATCTGAGTAGTAACTATTGCCTCAGAGTTACTGCTGAGGGAGCCAATCAGAATGCTCAAAGGCCATTTTTAGTGTGAAGTTTCACTTCACACTATTGTGATGGCTGGCAAATTCACACGAATCAGTCAATCAGTCATAGAGTAAACTTTCCGGGGGGTGTATACGATTTATTTTTGTAGTGATTTATTGTACTTAGTCAGTACTTTGAAGGTTATTTAGGCAATTTCAGTTAACTTATTTACATATTCTGTTATCCTTTTGCCAAGTTCACAAAAATTTCGAGGAATCGCTTTCGTTATTGTATTTTTTTGTAAATTTTAGAACATTCGCTTCTCATGTTGTGTAAAGGATCTTTACCCCGGAACACCCGATTTTTTCTTTAGTAGCGCAGATGCGCATGCGCTATCAAACCGTAGATCACGATGGCGTGACGATATGCTAGGAAGGAGTGACAGTGTTGTTTTCAGATGTATAAACATTTCAGACGTGAATATTGAGTAATCTTTGGAAATCTACGCAAAATACAAATTGATCTTATGCATTACGGACGTTCAATTAAGTGCCGATAATATTTACACGGTATATTCATTATACACAGCTAGGAAGGAGCTAGACCGCCTAGGCAGTGCAGTCAAGTGTATGAACATTTCAGACGTAAATATTGTTATATTGAGTCGAAAATCTTTGAGATTCTAGGCATTCAATTGAGTGCCGATATTATTTTCACGGCATACTCATTATACAGAGGTACAGTACGTAGGCAGAAGCAAGACAGTGTTGTTTTCAAGTATATAAACATTTCAGACATGAATATTGAGAAAATCTTTGAGATTCTACGCAATAATACAATATATAAATTTATGTTATGCATTACTATCAGATCAATAAAGCATAAACAACTATTAAATAGAAGCGGGTAAATGTTTGTACGGCGTTTAGTAGTTTACGAAGAAAATAACTTGAGAGACTCCTTTATACAGAGCTCCTTATTTAAATAAGAAAGACGAAGAGATAGCCAATGGCAATGTGTTATCGCCAACGTGTTATCGCCAATCGCTTGGCTCGCCAACAAGCTTTATGCAATAGAAGAAAAAAAGCAAGCAGGTACATGTAGCCAACGTGTATTTGTTTACTGTCTAGCACAACGCCGTTGTCAACGGTGCAAACTCGTGTTCAGTGCAACGATAACTCTACCAGATCTTACGAGAATCAATCTGTAGTATTCTGTACACAGAACTGTACCAAAGCTTGTCAAAACTGCTTTAAACACTGCTTAACTGTGAAACTATCGAAATCTAAAGTGACATTATTCAACACATGCGAAAAGCTGAAAATAGACACAACGTGACACTGGGAAAAGTCAAAGGTCAATGAGACTTGTTATTGTGAAACATGTCATAATTAGGTTAAAATGCGCAAGCGGATGGAGCGGATCCACGGAACGGATATGCGGATAAAATACGGAACGGATGAGGATAAAATGCGTCCTTTTAATGATGTAACGACGTAGTGCTTATTATTCATAACATATCTTATACAGCTATTTCAATTATAGTTTTAGATAAATTTAGCATAGCAGTAGCCTCGTGGGGGTGCAAATGAAAATTTAGAATATGCAAAATTTGGTTGTTGGTGAAACAATTTAAATTTCGAATTGTCGCGTGTAGCATCACAATAAATAGATAAATTGCATCAGTTTCACAAGGCACGTTTCTGGTTTGTTAGGCTTGTTTTAAACGTCACGCTACTTGTGTGCCGAGCGTATTATAAAAGCAATAAACAATGAGATGAAATGCCTTTGGTAACTATATATTTCGTAGTGTAAGGCATCGGCTTTTCTAGGTTGTCGGCGACCCTATATAGTTCTTGCTGTGTCTTTTTCAATTTGAAACTTCACACTATCCTTGGATCCCTAGTTCAATACTGAAATTATACTAAATAACGTTAGAATTAATAAATTGATGTTATTTGTAGAGTTGCAAAAAGTATTCATTCACCTTTCCCCCGGGTAAAATTTCAAGTTTTCAAACCTTCCTCAAAATATATAAATTATGCCATCCTATTTCCTACTCACTAGTATTTAGTATTAATTATCTTGTTGATTGCATTGTACTAACACACAGACGAACAGTATACAGGCTGGCGACGGCGTCTAGATGCCGGTTACGATTGCTACAGAAACACGATTCCCAGAAAGTATAGAGTCTTCCATATTAAACCTTCCTCACTGACCTCGCATATCGTAAATCTTCCTCGCGGGTGATACCCGTAGCTTTTTCGCAACTTTATTTGTATTAACAAAACTGAAAACTAACTGAACAACACAATTTTTTAGCCAGACCCTGGTGAAACCTTTAGACCAAGATGTGGATCAATTAACAAGTACGGCAAGGTTCTTTTGATGTACTACTTGTTAGCCTGGAGCGGTTTATCACTCACGTGATATTTAAACATACTTTGACTCAAGTCGGGGTCCATCATTGAACTGAGGTCAACTAAAACAACAAAACCACCAAATGGCAGCCAACGCATCTTATGCTCTTTCCTTTTTTATTGAAAAGAAAAACTTCTTTTAAACTATTTAAAACACGCGCTGGAGTAGCCTCCTCCGCAGGCATCTCGTGGTACTTACCTACAATAAGAACATCAGTTATTTGAATAACTAAATTATATAAGTTCTCGACGATTAAGAGATGCCTGCGGGGAGGCTAGCGCTGGAGCGTTTTATCAAATATAAAACAAATATATCTGTTGATGCACGGACTGCGAGTGTTTTAAATGACTTAAAAAACGACCCATCTGATGAGTTCATTCATGGCGAAGTAATTTTAAAAATAAACGTTGTCTAAGCCGAGAAACTCAAAGCTAATAAAAGTTTATGTAAATTTACATGATTTTTTTCACGCATGTAGAACCACCGATATGGCAGTAATTTCCTTTGTCCTTCCTCATGAATTATTAATGATTTTTTTAGTTGTATTTATTCTATATTTATAGACCAAAATTTGACAACGTGTTGCAAAGATCATTCAGATTTCCGACAATGTGAGGATCATGTTTTTTTACAATACAATATAGCATCATTGGTGACAGTGCATGCGCTCAAAAATATTGTTTTATATTTTTAGCTTGGGTACAAATGTGAAGGTTGTGGATGTGATGGGAGAAAGCTTTCTGACATTCAGAATTCCTCAACAATTATTGTAAGTTAGCTCCGCGTTCTTACGAAGTATGTGATGTTATTTTATTGTCATGAGCCAATTCTTGTTTTCCTCGGAGTAGCTATGAGCATCAGTTGTACGCAATTTTTATGTCAATGCAAAGATCTCGTTTTCTTAAAGGTATGTTTTGATAACTTTTTTGTTTAGTAATTTAATAAAAGAAGTTTTGAATAATTTTGTATATATGTCGCGTTTTACTTATGTTAAATTCCCATTGTATTTATGCATGTTTTGGGTCAATGAACATGACCTTCAAAGTGGCATTGAAATATTCACGAGTAAATTGTACTTTTTTACAAGGAAACTAAAATAAAATCGCATGAGTGAATTCAGGAATGTTTACTCTTTATAATGATACTTTAAAACACGAATTTACTCCATAAAACCGAAGAGTTATCGCGGTTTGAAAATGAGCTATTTTTGCTATATTCTATAATAGCAAAAAATTCAAAAAATAGCTCATTTTCAAACCGCGATAACTCTTCGGTTTTATGGAGTAAATTCATGTTTTAAAGTATCATTATAAAGAGTAAACATTCCTGAATTCACTCATGTGATTTTATTTTAGTTTCCTTGTAAAAAAGTACAATTTACTCGTGAATATTTCAATGCCACTTTGAAGGTCATGTTCATTGACCCAAAACATGCATAAATGCGATATATATACAAAATTATTCAAAACTTCTTTTATTAAATTACTAAACAAAAAAGTTATCAAAACATACCTTTGAGAAAACGAGATCTTCACAGCAAAAATCGCAATATATTTCAACAGTTTTTAATCGAACGGCACGTTGAGAATATAAATATCTTGAATAATAATGAGCCACACTGATTTACGCGTTGCATTTCGGGAAGACCCTCATTCCTCCTCTTCCTCAAAATGGAACATATTTTATTTCCTGCTATTCCAACTAATTCTTTGTTTGCAATCACGTGACTTTTCATCCAAATGACAGGCAATCAAACAACTTGTGGACGATTTTTCTCCTATATCAGAATGGTTGTAGCAAGAAAAACTCATCTTTTGAGTCTTAAACTGTCTCAGAACTCGATCAATACATTAAAATAGCTGTTTTTTGTTATACGTGCCCGTCAACTGAAATAGTCCCAAAATTACGTCATTGCAAACAAAGAATTCTCGTTCTCGTGTGTGACCGACAGAGATTCTCACCACAAAATATATACCTCATTCGTATACTTAATTTCGCGCGTAGGCTACCTTAATTTCGTGATTTTTTCGAGGCAATATTTCGAGACTTTATTTTCGCAATTTTGACAGGCGAAAATAGAAAAACGACATTAATTAAATGTCGTGAAAGCTTTCTGAACAACATTTTATTTTCTATAAAAATCTGAAGGACAACTTTTGAAACAAGTCAACGTAAGGTATATATACTGTCTGTACGGTAGTCCGCGATGATTTTACTCATCTTTATTGCCGGTAAGAAGACAAAATGCAAACTGTAGCTTAATGCTAAAACTATTATTAATTAATTAATTTTTTTTTTTATTTATGTCGATATATTTTGATCATATTTATCAAGAATGTTTTTATTCAAATTTTTGACTATAGGATATTTGAGTGCAAATCAGTTCGCGAGGTTTTTACTGTTTGCGCGACTTTAATTTTGCGAATTTTTTACAATTGACGTATAAGGTAATATGTTTTCTTTAATTGCTATAAGGGACCGTTCATTAATTATACATACGGGTGCGCTGGAGTAAAACTAAACATTTATTAAAATAATATTTTTCGACCCACCCCCTTAAATTAAAGTCTTTTTAATGCCCCCCCCATTACTCGAGAAAATGTTTCAACTCCCCCCCCCTTCTGGAAGCGACCGCTATTGTGTGTAAACGTTGGAATAATAATATAGAAATTGACAGTTGAGTTGACTTGACATTATTTTATAGAACAATATATATATATATATAAAGTTTGATATTGCGAATCTGCGAGTTGCGAATCTGCGAGTTGCGAATCTGCGAGTTGCGAATCTGCGAGTTGCGAATCTGCGAGTTGCGAATCTGCGCTGACTCTTCCACAGTCCCTCGTTACATTTTAGTGCGGGAGAATATGCCCGTTCGCGGGTTAGGCGTTGACAGCTACAACCTAACCCATTCCCATCATCCAACGCGAGCGACTGGGGACGAGTCAGGAATCTGCGCGTCACAGCACAGCATGGTCGGATTTACTGGGGGGGGGGAGGTTAGGAGGGGTTAACCCCCCTAGAATCTCTCTAACCCCTCTTATAAAGTGTTCAACCCCACCAAAATTTCGCGTCACCCCTCCTATTTTGTGTGAAAGTCATTAACGCCTAACCCCTGCTGAAGCTCACTCAGTGGTGCCGCTTGCACCCCACTAGAAAATTTTCCACCCCTCCTTTTAAAAAAACGAAAATCCGCCCTTGCAGCACAGGAACCCCAGGTTATATAGTTGTTTATATTTTTTAGCCCACATAACATTGGGCCTCCCGCGCCGGCACGCCTGCTCTTGAGGTTACTATTAAAAATAGAAGGAAGGAGACATAGCGCCCGAAATAGGCCAAACTTGCATACGGCGTCCAAAATAATTTCCTCGATTTTTCGACTTCAAATGCATTTCTTTCGAATTTAATCGATATCCCCGGCAAGAATGATAACATACAACTCTCAAAACAACAATGCTTTAATCAAAGAGCTTAGATTCGCTTCAAAATCTGTGAAGGAACGACAAAATTCAGCCAAAATACATCCGACGCATGTAGCTGCTGTGCAGTAAACAGGAAGTCGTTAAGCCACTAAAGCCAACTCGAACCTGATTGGGCAGTGGAGAAAACATTTGAATATGTTTGTCAATTCGTTGTCCAATGAGGTTCGAGTTGGCTTTAGTGGCTTAACGACTTCCTGTTAACTGCACAGTACCTACATCCTCGGATGTATTTTGGTTGAATTTTGTCGTTCCTTCGCGGATTTTGGAGCGAATTTAAGTTTTTTTATTAAAGCATCGTTGTTTTCAGAGTTGTATGTTATCATTCTTGCCGGGGATATCGATTAAATTCGAAAGAAATGCATTTAAAGTCGAAAAATCGAGGAATGTTTTGGGTGCCATATGCAAATATAGCCTATTTTGGGCGCTATGTCTCCTTCCTTCTATTTTTAATAGTAGCCTCAAGAGCAGGCGCGGGCGGCCCAATGCTAAGTGGGCTAAAAATATAAGCAACTATCTATCCTGGGGTTCCTGTGCTGTGACTCGCAGATTCGCAACTCGCATACTAGACAAACTCTTATCTTATAGAACAATATATAAAGCTTGACTCTTGTCTAGTGATCCATTAAAATTTTGTTCTTGTGACTGTTCATACAAAACCAATTGGGAAACTTTTGTATGTGATGATGTTTTTCTCCTTTATACACTTTTATAAAAATGAAGAATATATGTTTCTCACCCCCGCCCCTCATTACACAAAAACATTTTGATGCCCCCCCCCGCTATTCTTGGCAATTATTTTGGAGCCCCCCCCTAATTTTCCTCCGCCCCCCCCCCCCATCTATAATTAATGACTGTCCCTAAACTGTAAAAGGACAAGCGTTTTTTATTCTGAAAACGTAAATGTTAATGAAACATAGCTTTTTATGCAATAGTGTGCCACAGATTAAAGTTTCATAGTGGTGCTACTGCGCTTAAAAAATGAGTATGCATGCGTGACAATTCCGACGCGAGTTGCATGGATACCTAACAGTGTATGTTTTTAATCTGCCGCAGTATACTTAACCTATCAGTTATATAAAAGTGTAAAATAGAAGAACAATTACAAAAAATGTGAAGAACAGGTTTATTTATTAGAATACAGGTTATACTGTAGGTAAGTAAACTGAATCAGATATAAAACATTCAATTATAACTGAAGTTATTAAGTAGATCAAACTATTTATTGTAACATCTTCCACGTCCAAAGCAGTGGGTATTCCTGTACCGTGTTCTGTATGTACACACACAATCCAGTGCTTTTTGATAACAGATCCAGTCAGGAACATTGAATCTACGGCATCGAGTGTATAATTTGCAACATAATTGACAACCGCGTTGGATAGGAATGATACAAACATAACCTTGGTGGAAGTTTCGTCTCCTGTGCACCACACAAACTTTATCACACTCAAATGGACAATCCTAAAAGACGTAAATATGTAAAGATTTTAATACAGCACCCTTGCGCTTCGTTGTATATAGTAATGTGAACAATAGCAATATGAGTTCCACTGCATGAAAAGTGAATTATCATTTCGAAAACCATCCTTATGTTTTCTATTCTTCAATATTTTTTTGTCGCTCTGATTTCTGAAAATATTAAACACGTACAACCTTGTTACAACATTTTGTGTTTTGTTGGTCATTATGGAAAAGTGAATATATACAAAATATGGATAATATCCATGCAGGGATTTCCCGGAGTTTTTATACATGAAATATTGATAAACGATGCTGTTGCTGTGCAATAGGAATGTCGAGAAGTTACTGTAATTACTGATTAATATTTATATGCTTACACGTTGTGAAGAACGAGAACTTGGTCTTCTTGTTGAAACACGGCGCCATGGTGGTCGGGAGGTGGGCCTTCTTGGTGTGAAACGACGCCATGGCGTTTGATTAAATGTAGTATGAAAACCACGCCATGGTGTTGGATTAGATGTAGTAAAACGAGGCCATGGTGTTGGATTAGATGTAGTAAAACGAGGCCATGGTGTTGGATTAGATGTAGTAAAACGAGGCCATGGTGTTGGATTAGATGTAGTAAAACGAGGCCATGGTGTTGGATTAGATGTAGTAAAACGAGGCCATGGTGTTGGATTAGATGTAGTAAAACGAGGCCATGGTGTTGGATTAGATGTAGTAAAACGAGGCCATGGTGTTGGATTAGATGTAGTAAAACGAGGCCATGGTGTTGGATTAGATGTAGTAAAACCACGCCATGGTGTTGGATTAGATGTAGTAAAACCACGCCATGGCGGACTCGTTGTGGCAACCTCGCCACGAGTGGTAGGGAAAACAACATGATCTGCTTGGTACTCGTTTTCAGCTTTTAAAAAATCGTTTTCTGATGGCATGTCAGCTTTGTCTTCGACAACATCCTTACTTTCGCCACGTGCGCAAGCCAATAATAGAAGTGTGAGTAAGGTGAAAAGAATAGTGTTCAAGTAAATCTTATAGTAGACCGCCATTGCATGCCTAGTGCTGAATCACAAGTCAACTGCAGTAATGCACGCTTGGTAATTTCGGATAACAGTGGCAATATCAACTTTGATTTAGCTTCCGACTTCCTTTTCCGTTGATATACAATGTTTTTTTCTGCATGTTTGGTTTTCTGAGAGTTTTGTGCTATGAGTGCAGTATGATCTGAAAGATTTTTTCAAACACTTCGTATTACACTCGTTATTCGGACTTTTTTCTCGAAATATTATATTCTTATTAATAATATACATGAAAAATAACTATATGTAGAAGCAAATTCATGGTTTCTTACAGTTGCATGCATGAAACACATGCGAAATAAATAATTTACTCACTCGAATGGCATAACAATTTAATACACGTTTTCAACTCGGTCAAAAGTCAAAACTTTGTTAAAAATATATTTTGTGTTGTTATAAAAATATCTTTTGTGTTGTTCAAAATATCTTTTGTGTTGTTCAAAATATCTTTTGTGTAGGCGCTTGCCACATATTTCTTTTATGGCACTGAATTATTTTTGCTCTAGGCTATACATTTGAATAAAATTGCACTGCTCTTAGCCAATATAATTGAGTATTAAATTGTCATGTAATACAGCAGATTTAGTTATTCATATTTTTATAATATAAGCAGCTTATCAACAAAGTTTCATGCATTGAGCAAAATGCCAAAACGTGGTAATTGGCTTCACAATTAAAATCATGTATAAGAACAATCTTGATGGATACAGGAGTGGATTGTCGCCCAATTGACAACCTTTCCATTTGAGTTACCTCTTAATCCGTTCTGGTCAACGAAGATGTCATTGAACTTGCTGGCATGCAACTTCGTTCCTGCAGGTGCTCATAATAATGATAATAATAATTAAATTCTCAGTTGTTATATAGTACTGTTATAGTACTCTTTATCTAATTAATTAATATTTTTACTTGTAAATATAGAATATACCTAATATTTTATTCTCATACTATGTAATTCCAAAGCAGTTTAGTTGTTACTGCTATTTTGGAAATTAATGATTAAATCTTAAATTTTAACTTGCATCGTTTATAGTCACTACTGAGTCATGTTCCTCTTTTTGACTATGCTGACTTACGCCTGTATTCTAAAAGCTCACTCACATTCACACTCAATGAGTGGAGGTTCAATCTGAGTTTCTCTTGAGTGTCAATGCTGTTTTTGAATAGCTGGGGGGTGAGTAGTCACATAATAAGGTACGACACTAACCCTCCATGCAGCTATTCAAAAACAGCAATGACACTCGATCGAGAGAAGCTCAGATTGAACTTGAGTGTGAGTAAACTTTTAGAATACCGGCGTTAGTCTGGGGCGATAAAAAGAACGTAGTCGTGATGAAGTCTTGCAAAATAACTCAGCAAGGATTATAATGGACATACCATAGCATTCTTCAGCCTCAAATGCCTTTGAGCAACTGGGATAGAACGTAACCTTTGTCTGTTCATTGCCATCATCGTTGCATCGTTATACATGCACAAACAAGCTTAAACAAATGTCTTCTATATATAGAGACGATATCTTACAAGCATTACCGGATGACATGTTTATACGAATACTATATAATTGCGTAGCCTGTAAAGTAGAGCTCCCAACGTTTGAAATAAAACGTTTGAAAAGTTGAAAATTAATACTTTTAACAAAGTTATTGCTTGCTATATAAAAGTCCCAGTAATCCAACACAAATATAATAGTACGAATATTGGCTTTGCTGGTTGCCGCACATTCAAAAATTCTATAATAAGTAAATAAACAAAGAAGTATTATATTAATATGCGTCATCAAAGAACTGAAACGATATATTTTAAGTATCCTCAAACATCGTATTCTTATTATTAAATTTTATTAAAAACTTCTACAAAAAATATTATTATGATCTCTTTGCATGTATTTTCAAGTCTCTGGAAATGCTGTTCTGTCATTTTCCGGTGAACTAAGTAAACATGTATATGGTTCTTAAGATCCTCAACCTATATATATAGTCACCACTATAATAAGAGCGATATTGAAAACGTTTTTATGAAATTAGAGAACTGCATGAATTAACAATACGAATAAAAGGGCAACTTCGTTTCCAGGCTTCTGTCTCGCGTTTACTTTTTTAATGTCGCGACAAAGCGTTTCCGCCAAAACGAAAGTCGTGGGCCTTTTACCTAACTTATTTAGTGATTAAATTCCCGTGGCTGGAAAATGATGTCATATAGAAACTATGTATGACGACGCAGTAAAGTGTGGTCTGCATACGCGTGAAATTCCAGGAAAAATTTCGCCTATGGCGTGCAACATGTCTTTAGTAACCGGTAGATTATGCTTCGTTTCCATCCGCAATTCATGTAGTTTTCAGAAAAATGAAAAATAATATATGTTGTATAATGCAATGGTTGACAATTAGCCTTTCTCACGATGACGAATATCCACCATTTTTGGGTGGCATCCAATTTTCATTAACCAATGCAGACAATTAAAACAATGTGAAAATAAAACTAACCATTTACAAAGCAAATTTACCATTATTCGTCCCAAAAATTATAAAAAGTCGCTGTTATGTGGACTTATCTCATTAAGTGTGCATGCATGTATATATGCGGATTATTAATAAAATACATGCAACAAATTTTCGAGAAGGGCAACTGACCTTCAGTGACCGCGATAGACATTTAAAAGCAAATATTTGCACTTCATGCATATAATGAGATCACATCTCATGTTGAAACTTCCACAGCGAAAATGTTGACCAAAATTATTGTTTTCACTGTAAAGATATATTATATTTTCTTCTTAGAATGACCCAAATATATATATTTACACATGCATACCAAAAATTGTATTTGGGGTTATTTCTTTATTAGTAGCTGTTTAAGTCTTAACGGACATCCCCTGCATGTCCCTGATTTAATTTGTTGGCGCTGCTTTAAGAACACTTCTAGAAATAGGCTATATGCCAACCGCATCTATACACGCGATCGAAAACGACATTTGGGTTGATGAACAAATTTGTATTCGTAAAAATCTAAATTCTGGTTAGCTACATGCGGACTATCATGTGCTAGTATTTATATAGGAACATTCTTCGGAACTCGTATATCTTCGGGTCTGGAATCCTGCTCGAGACAACGAATTTTTCGTCGTAGTCTGCAGTTTCAGAATAATATAAAACTAATTTTTATTATGGAATTTCACCCAAAAGTTTAAATCGAATAAAATGTGACTTCTGCACTGTTAATTTTAGGGTGTTAAAATAACACCAAAAAGTGGTGTTAAAAAATTAGGTAAAAAATAACACTACTTTTTGGTGCTATTTTAACACCACTAAAAAACACCCATTTTTAGTGTTAAATTAGCACTAGTTTTTGGGGTTAATTTAACACCTGTTTATAGTGTTAAACTAACACCACTTTTAAGTGCTAAAGTGACACCAGTTTTAAGAGTTGATTTAACACCTATAGTGTGGCGTTAAAATAACACCTGATTTGGCAGTGCCAAAGCAACACTTCTTCCTATCTGGTGCTAAAATAACACCAGATTTAAGGTGTTGATTTAACACTTTCAACCAGGCACATTAAGACACACACAAAAGAGAAATATAGGTTCAAAATTGGTTATTATTATAAATTACTCGCTGACAAGAAATACCTTTAACATGCATGAATTTATATGAACTAAGTATTTATCACGATTAATTTCAGAGTCCAAGCTCACTTAAAAGTTGTTGTACAGAAGTTTTGTTCTCGGCATCAGCAGGGCGGTTTAAGGTGACAGCTTCTAAATTCTAGAAATGCATAAACACTCGAAACACCTGGAGTGTATTCCATATTTAGAACATGGAATGTAGCAATAAGTATGTGGAATATTTTTACCAGCAAAACGCAAGTAAATTTGCCCCACGGCAGCAATGTACAATGGGTCCAAGGATGCAATGTCACCTGATGCCAAGATTCAAGGATAGCTATAGGTTGATTTCCTCACTTCTTCACCAATGGACAATGGGGTCGTCATCCTAAAAGTATTCATTTTAACATTAGTCTATACAGTATATATATTTAGTAATTTTAAATGTTGTCAAGTTCTAATGCAAATGCTGTATTCTGATTGGCTTTACGCTACTCATTATCAAAAGAGATGGTTTGCGCTCTAGCAAGCTATCTCATTGACAATTGTCAATGAGATAGCTTGCTAGAGCGCAAACCATCTCTTTGTTGAGACAAATAAGCATTGATCACATGCAATGATAGGATAAGAGATGTGCCATCTCACCTTAACACTACATGTGGCAATTTTAATTACTTCAAAAGGAGTATGCACAGTATATAACAGAGGGTAGCCATTGAGCAAGTGTCCCTTAACTATATAATTAATCACTGTTCAATTCCATTTTGCCATTGAAAAATCATGTCAATACATCGCCATTTCAAGAATGAAAAACTACTTCATTATAATGTTACCCGTCTCAAATGGGTCATTTGTCCAGGACGGATAAGAGATGTGTCATGATCTCACCTTAACACTACATGTAGCAATTAATATTTTTCAAAAGGAGTACAGTATCTAACAGGGAAGCCATCGAGCAAGTGTCACCTAGCTTAACTATATAATTAGTCACTGGTACAGACTGGCCCGTACAGTCCAATTGCATTTTGCCATTGAAAAATCATATCGATACATTGCCATTTTAAGAAAGAAAAATTACCCCAATTATAGTGTTAATTAACTGTGTCAAATGGGTCATTTGTCCTGGATGGATAAGATATGTGCTATCTCACCTTAACAAGTGCTACATGTGGCAATTATTCTACTTTAAAATGAGAATCTGTTGCAATAAGAACTTAATTAGGTTTAGTGTATCTTTTGACATGGTTGAGAAATAGAATTATGTTTGGGGATTTTATAATGTGAACATTATATCATAATCAATATTTTCACTCTTAAATATTAATACTCAGGACTCTCCCATTGATAGCCCAATGATAGGTAAAATTATCTCTGTCATTATACCGTAAACCTCCGACTATAAGCCCCCCCGACTATAAG